GTACGTACGTAGTATATATATATATATATATATATATATATATATATATATATATATATCCGGCTCTGGAGCCAGCACGAGCACGAGCATGAGCTCCAGACGAGGATGTGTAGGAGCTGTATGCGAATGCGAATGCGAATGGGAATGGGCATGGGTCGAGGAGAAAGAAGTCTGCGGCGGAAGGAGACGTTTGGTTGTTACTTTTTATTTTGTTTATTGATTTCATTGATTTCATTGATTTCATTGATTTCATTGATTTCATTCATTTCATTCATTTCATTGATTTCATTGATTTCATTGATTTCATTGATTTCATTGATTTCATTCATTTCATTCATCCCTCTATTAATTTCCTATCCGGAAAAAAAAAAAAAAAAAAAAAAAAGGACAAGACAAAAAGAAGTCAGGCCCTCAGGAACGTTGTGCCATCTCGCGTACATCTCCATCTCCATCAACCATCACATCAGTAAAGAAAGAAAGAAAGAAAGAAAGAAAGGGACCGACCGCAATTCGTTTAATGCCTGCAACAGCAGCGATATGTAACAGGCTCTTTCTTGATCTCTACACAGATCTCTACCCTACCCTACTCTACCCCACTCCAGATACATACATAAATACATACCTACCTACCTACATAGACAAAAGTAGGAAAATACTCGATGCGCTTACAGTACCAGTACCGGTACAGTAGGTAGCAGAGAGCTTCTACCGGGTAGGTACTAGGTACTAGGTACCGTACCGTACGTACTACGGCGTTGGATTCGGCTACTGAGCTGAGTCATCTTTTTTTATTATTTTTTTTATCTCGTTTCGAACACCTCCTCTTCCCCCCCCCCCCGCTACCGTTTCGGCGTGCACGGCCTTGCCTTGCCTTGCCTTGCCTTGCCAAGGAAGGGGTGATACCGGTATGAATAAGTCGAGACGTGTTTTGTATTATATTGTCTTGTCTTTGTCTTGTGTTGTCTTGTGTTGTGTTTTGTTGTGTTGTACTATATTGTGTTGTGTTATATTGTATTATATTATATTATATTATGTTATATTATATTATATTATATTATATTATATTATATTATATTATATTATATTATATTATATTATATTATATTATATTATATTATATTATATTATATTATATTATATTATATTATATTATATTATATTATATTATATTATATTATATTATATTATATTATATTATATTATATTGTATTATTGTATTATTGTATTATTGTATTATTGTATTATTGTATTATTGTATTATTGTATTATTGTATTATTGTATTATTGTATTATTGTATTATTGTATTATTGTATTATTGTATTATATTATATTGTATTATATTGTATTATATTATATTGTATTATATTTTATTGTATTATATTTCATTGTACTATATTATATTGTATTATATTATATTATATTGTGTAAAACCCATTGTATTGAATATAGAGCTACAAGAGGTTGTGGTGGGAGGTATATAAAAGCCATACCTAGGCACTCACTGGATATGATTGCACTGCAATTATATTTGTTAATGAAAGCAAATTGCTTATACTTTGCAGTAATAAGAAAGGAGGTGATGAAATGCGGATAGTATGTAATAGAATCACCTCACGTTATATTCACGTACGGGTTCGAACGTGCGATCTTACAAGTAGTCAAAGTGTCACAAGCTGATTATTATAGAATCGCCCGTGAAAAGTATTGCCGTTCACAGGTCAATCGCATACAGCCTCGAAGCTCGTCTTTCTTTCGGCCGCCTCCTATGAACTATGACCCATACCTTGTCTACTATCCCGTCTCTCGGCGCCAGCTTATCAAAACCTCATCTATCGTCGTAATTACCATCATGATTCGAAAGAGCCACATCAACTCAGATCAAAGCCAGCACCCGAGTTGACCGCATACAGCAATTTCGTCCGTAGGCGAGCCTCCGAAGTGTACATGGGCAGCTTCAGCAGATTCACGCATGTACTGGTGCTAGGCAGTCTCTCCTCATCGCGTCCGGCATCTCGAATGCTGAAGCGTGGGTTCAGTTGTGAGAAGCCCAAGAGAGGCGCTCTCGGCGTAGAAGTAACGTACTTTAGCACCTTTCTGCGATCCGAATCGTCAAGCTCCTTCAGCACTTTCCAGAAGATCTTGATTGTGCTGTGCTCTTGGCCATCGTCGCCGATCTGGTAGACGCCGCCGTACTGTGTGTTGCGTCGCAGATCCTCAACGTTGACTTCTGACGAATCGCCGCCGATTAGGGTCTGAAGCTCGGATTGGTTGAACATGGAGAGCCAGGTCGGGTTGATGATTTCGGTGAGGCCCCTGAGGAAGGCTTGTGTTTGGCGGAATGGTTGGACTTGCAGACGATGGCGCGCTACGTAAGAGACATAGACTGGCCGGTTCTTGTCGGTGACAGGAATGTTGGAACCGTTTGGCATCAGATCCTTGGTAATTATCTTTTCGTGTCCGCCATCTGAGGATATGCTATCTGTGATTGTGAAGTCGAGAGAGAAGTCTTCAACGTTTCCAGGGTAGTTCTTCAGCTTGAGCAGACCTTGATAGAGACCCTCATCTAAATCTCGGAGGTCGTTGATGTTTGCTCGATATCCCGACTCGGATCCTGCAGTAGCCCATTTGAGGAGGAAGAATCCAGCAAACCCAATATTGACGAGGATCCCCTCGTATAAACATTTTCCCACGATCCTCCCAAGGAACTCGTAACGCTTCAAGAGATCGTTCATGCTTTCCTTCCACACAGGAGAAGTTTCTCTCAGCCCTGCGGCTTTTAGTAGCTCTTTCCGCTCATCCACTGTGGCTGGATTTGGGTAAAGCAGATTCTGGTCATTTGCGATGAACAGGCGGGGAGATGCCTCTTCTGACAAGAATGCCTCATTTGTAATGCTCGTGAGGAACTCCTTGGTCACACCTCCACCATCAATACCAGCTTCAACCGTGTCAAATTGATCGACGAAGGTGATTTGAATTGGCTCCTTCAAGCCCTGTCCGAGCTGGTAGAACTGTTTGTAAGCGTCTTCAAATATCTGATCTCTTCTGATCTTGGCATGGTGACGGCCTAGCAGCTCGTGGCCCGATGGTCTAGATGTCATCTGCGCCTGCTGTATGATGGACATTCGCCAGATGTCGGGGTCCACGTTGCCACCTCGTCTTCTTGTCTGGTCGAGAAGAACGAACTGACGAAATATTTGGACACGGGTCTCGAACGGAATGACGAAGGGCATATTCTGCAGCACCTCCAGTCTTGGTCCTACTGCAGCAAGAAGCTTTTGGCGAGCAGCTTTTTGCTGCTGTTTTCTGAGGGCTTCGAGCTGCCGAGCCTGCCGAGCTCTTCCCATACCGACGATTTCCCTGCCCTCAGGCATTTGTAAGTCGTCTATTTCTTCTTCTTCACCATCCTCCCTCACCTCGTGCTGCCTCTCTTCTTCCATGACGACGGCAGGAATGAAACCTTCCATGTCAAATCGGGATGTCATCAGCCAGTGATCCTTCGGCAAGAAGGGGCGCCGGGAATCTCGCTCGTACAGCATGCGCATCACCCCTGTCGCAATCGTTCTCACATAGTCAAAGGTCATCCCAGCAACACCAGCGAATGGCCTCCTTGCCATGGTTGTTGCCATTACCTCGGGCTCTGAAGACTGAAATCTCGAGGTGGTGGCTTTCGCACTGAAGTAGCTGCCGATGCTACCTTCGGATGAAGACTGGCCATCGTCGAACAGCTCACCGGCGTTGTAATACATTGTGAAAGCGAGATTATTTAGAAATATCGTGAGTCGCTTGACATCTTCGATAGGCAGTGCGCTTTGACGGATACGAGAGACTGGCCCACTCGCCTGTCCGTACGCTGGAACATTGCCACTAAGAAATTCTTCGTCATCAGTAAACCTCAAGACGAAGGTGTAGAGCTCGAGGAAGAGCAGTATAGTCCGCCACTCTCTGTCTCTCCCAGCATCACTTGAACCGCTTTGGCGCTGGTTCTGGGGCCGGAGTAACGTCAACGCACCCTTGGAATCGGCTCTGATGACAGAAAAAGTATTAGTCAAGCTCATGGCTTGCCAGAAGAATTTCAATGCAGGAATTTCAGAGCCAGCCGAAGTCGTCATCGACCCTAGATAAAGCCACAATCGAATGTCATCGCCCCTTTGGGGGAAGATTCTCAGAAGTGTCAGAGCATAGCTCGCAAGTAAACTGGCGTCTTCCTCTCCTGCAGCGGATGCCTTGGCATAGTCAACGTTGAACTTCACCAGCAGCCCAGTGATACTTGCTTCGTTGACCAGGGAGAGCAGTTCGTTTTTAACAAAGGGAGGTAGGGGAGCTGAGATGCTTCTCTCAACCTCGCCACCATCGTTAGAATCTGGAAGAATTTCTGGATCTGAAGCATCGATCCGGCCAACAATTTCGCCAGAGGAGCGAGAAAGCTGCAGAGATAATGCTCGTAAGAATTCTGGCTCTTGAGAACTTCGATGTTGAAGTCGATGGAGCGAGATGAAGTGCGCCAGGAGCCACAAACTTCGGTCATCCTGCTTGTGATCCACGGGCGCAGATGACAGCTCCAGCACTAATGCCGATGAGAGAAGCCCCACGTTGACAATTGTTGAAAGCGCAGCCAGACCACCGAGAGATTCAGCCAATTTGGGAGTTGTCAGAAAATACAGCGCGAATGCTGCATGAGCATTTAAGACGATCCCATCTAGAGAGGAATCAGTACAGATATGTGTACTACCAGAGCATGGACCATACATACCCTTGTTATTCAGGTTGATGCGCTCTGTCAAGGGCATCCTGATGGCATTCAACACTAGGTTTGTATCGTATTTCGGAAATCCATTGCCTGAAACCAGTTCGGAGAGGAAGGTGTAATAAGAGCGAGATATCATGGGGAACACGTCTGGCTGTTGATCGACTATTGCTACCAGTAACTGCAGCAAGCTTGATACAACTTCAAATTTCAATCTGGGCAAATTAGTAAAGCTTCTTGACTCAGTCCCATCCCAGCATTCCACATACTTCTGTAGGCCTTCTAAGGTGGCATTTGCTAGTCGAACTAGCTGAGGTTGGATCTCAGGACATGCTAGAAAAGCTTCGTAGCCAAAAGCAGATATTCCCAGACTCAGGCTCGAGAGCCTCTCGATATCATCCTCTCTCCGCGGACTGTAAAATACTACCAGAAGTTGTAGTTGCTGAATCAACCTCGAGTGTGGATCCGGGAGATCATCCTTCCTCGCCAGCTCATCCCAGATCCTCCGCCGCGAGTCTGCCAAGTCGCTCCTAGCTCTATGCCCTCTCCATATGCGTTGAATCTTCTTCGAAGCGTTCAGTCGGTCTCGCTCTTGCTGACGCTGCAGTCTCTCTTGCGCGGCTTGCGCCACGGTCTTTTGGGTCCCGGACGCCGCTGGGTTTCTCGAGTTTGGTGCAAATGGGTTTGTATTTTGGCCAGACAGGTTCACTTGTCGGGGACGGCGAGAGCTGCCGCTGAAAGTTTGGAACATATCGAGTGATTTGCTAGGCAGTTCGCCGCCTTCGTGAGCGTTGGTTCTATGTTCGAAGATGCATGCCGTAGATGACGGAGCTTGTGCAGGCCAGCTCAATTTACTTTGGGAAGTCCTAGCAGGTCGAGGCACAACTTTCTTTGAGCGCTGTTTAGGATGGTGGCTGGCTTTTTCGGGGTCTCTGTGAATAGGCCGGGCAAAGCAGAGCAGTTTGTGAGAGAGGAGGGGAGCGGAGGGCAGGCTGGTTGTGGTGTTGTTGTGCTGTGGTGCTGTGGTGTTGTGGGGTTGATTATAATCAATGCCTGTTACTCATGAGGGGTGGGTTTTCCAGATCAAGATCAGAAGGCTGTGGCCCAGGTACCGCGCCGCTGCTCCATAAGCCTTGCCTTGCCTTGCCTTACCTTGCCTTGACTTGCCAGCCTGACAGCCCCTTTGATAATGCACAATAATAATACAACGAACGATAGTTGATTAACGCATATGATAGATAACCACAGCTGGATCAGTCTTGCGGACAACGAGCTTTTGGACTTCACTTTTACTTAGAAAGAGTGACTCGGGTCGAGCTGTGCTCCATAGAGACAACAGGTACCGGTACCCGTAGCACCTTCTTGCTCTTCAATATCACGTGACAGAACGGTCTATCCTCCGGTCTGGCAGGTCGGCCGCACGCTAAGCCCGTTTCAGAAGGAGGCCCACACCCTGCAAATTGTGTCTGACCTCCTCGTCGCGAATTCGAAATTTCTCTCGACATCCCCGACACCCCCCCCCCCCTCAAACTCCACCAAACATCTCGACTGCGGACCAATACGATCTTTCGTGCTTTTTTCGTTTTCTTGCCTCCTTTCAGAAAACCTCTCCAAGAGAGACAAAAAAACTTGAAAATCCACTCCCCCCCCCAAAAAAAACCTCAATCCCCCCTCGACGTCGTCGCAAACCGCCCCGTCATCACCTTCGTTCCACTCTTTCCTCCCGAACCTTGTGCATAGAATCTCCCAGTCTTTGCACATCCCCTCAGAATCTGCTCTGCATAGCTCCATCAAAGGACTTATCAGACTCCTCATTGAAAGACTCTTGTTGTCGCAAGCAAGGTAAGCGCAGTAGCAAAATTCCCTTTGTCGAATGGTTGCGAGCTCTCTTTCTTCCATGCCTCATGGCCTCCTCTTCCTGTTGCCTCATTTTGCGCAAGCCAAGCTGATCTCAATCTCGCCCCAGTCTAGTATCTAGTGAAGATGTCTGCCGCTACCACGAACACTGCTGTCGATCAGCTTGCGTCCGACCTCAATAATGCTTCCTTGAACGGCGGCGATGCAAACGGCGCTCCTGCCATCAATACCGCTGTCCCCGCTACCTCTGAGGACCCTGATACCGCTGGACCTACCCCAAGCTCTGCCGCTCCCCACCCACAAGCCTCTGCTTCTCTCTACGTTGGTGAGCTCGACTCCTCTGTCACAGAGGCTATGCTCTTCGAGCTGTTCTCTCAGATTGGCTCTGTCGCTTCCATCCGTGTCTGCCGTGACGCTGTCACTCGTCGATCTCTTGGATACGCCTACGTCAACTACAACACCACCATCGATGGCGAGAAGGCTTTGGAGGAGTTGAACTACACTCTTATCAAAGGCCGCCCATGCCGCATCATGTGGTCTCAGCGCGACCCTGCTCTCCGAAAGACTGGCCAGGGTAACGTCTTCATCAAGAACCTGGACACCGCCATCGACAACAAGGCCCTCCACGATACCTTCGCCGCCTTTGGAAACATCCTCAGCTGCAAGGTCGCTCAGGACGAGACTGGAGCTTCCAAGGGTTACGGCTTTGTGCACTACGAGACCGACGAGGCCGCCAGCCAGGCTATCAAGCACGTCAACGGTATGCTTCTGAACGAGAAGAAGGTCTTTGTTGGCCACCACATCCCCAAGAAGGACCGCCAGAGCAAGTTCGAGGAGATGAAGGCAAACTTCACTAACATCTACGTCAAGAACATCCCAGTCGAGGCCACTGACGAGGAGTTCCGCGAGTTGTTCGAGAAGTTCGGTGATGTTACCTCTGCCTCGCTCGCTCGTGACACGGACAGCAACAAGAGTCGTGGTTTCGGTTTCGTCAACTTCATCAATCATGAGCACGCCGCAAAGGCCGTTGACGAGCTGAACGGAAAAGACTTCAAGGGCCAGGACCTCTACGTCGGTCGTGCCCAGAAGAAGCATGAGCGTGAGGAGGAGCTTCGCAAATCTTACGAGGCTGCCCGTATTGAGAAGGCCTCAAAGTACCAAGGTGTCAACCTTTACGTCAAGAACCTTGACGATGACGTTGATGATGACAAGCTGCGTGAGCTTTTCACTCCTTTTGGCTCTATCACCTCCGCTAAGGTCATGCGTGATACCCCTGCCGAGACCGCTGAGGCCGAGGAGAAGGAGAAGAAGGACAGCGAGAAGAACAAGGAGAACATCAAGGAGGGCGAGACTGCCGAGGCCGAGAATACTGAGGATAAGCCCAAGTCTGAGAAGCGCACTGTTGGCAAGAGCAAGGGATTCGGTTTCGTTTGCTTCAACAACCCCGAGGAAGCTTCCAAGGCTGTCACTGACATGAACCAACGCATGGTCAACAACAAGCCATTGTATGTTGCTCTCGCTCAGCGCAAGGACGTCCGCAAGAACCAGCTCGAGGCCAGTATCCAGGCCCGCAACCAGATCCGCATGCAGCAAGCTGCCGCCGCCGCCGGTATGCCCCAACAATTCATGCAAACCCCCATGTTTTACCCTCCTGGCCAACAACCTGGCTTCATTCCCCAGGCTGGTCGCGGTATGGCATTCCCTCCTCAAGCAGGTATGCCGATCCCCGGTGCTCAAGGTGGTCGTCCAGGTCAGTTCCCTGCTGGTTTCCCTCCTCAGCAAGCCGGCCGTGGTGGACCAGGTCCTCAACAGATGCCACCAAACATGTACGGTATGCCAGGCCAATTCCCCCAGGCTGCGCCGTACGGTCAGCAAGGTAACCCACAATTCATTGCTGCCATGCAACAAGCTCAACAAGCTGCTGCTCTCGCTGGCGGCCGTGGTGGACCAGGTGCGCGTGGCCCAGTTCAAGGTCTCCCAGGCATGCCTCCTAACTTGGCTGGTATGCAACCCCAGATGCTCGGTGGCTTTCCTCAAGCTGCTAGAGGTGGTGCTCAAGGTGGTCGTGGTGCCCAAGGTGCTCAGGCTCGTCCTGGTCAATACTCCGGAGGCTTCCCTCCACAAGCCGGCCGTGGCATGCCTCCTCAAATGCCAGGTATGCCTCCTGCTGGCGGCGAGTTAGTCGGTGGTGCTCTCGCTCAACAGTTGTCTGCTGTCCCACCTGCCCAGCAAAAGCAACTCCTCGGAGAGGCCCTCTTCCCCAAGATCCAGGTCCTTCAACCCGAGCTCGCTGGTAAGATTACCGGTATGCTCTTGGAGATGGAGAACCAGGAGCTGGTCAACCTGTAAGCGTATCCGTTCTGTATCCCTGTATTCTACTGACTCTGTACAGCATTGAGGATGACAGCGCTCTTCGATCCAAGGTCGATGAGGCTCTCACTGTTTACGACGAGTATGTCAAGAACAACAAGGGCGAAGGCGAGGGTGAGAGTGAAGATCTGAAGGAGGAGAAGGTTGAGGAGAAGGCTTAATTGCCCACTCTTCTCAGCTCTCACCACCTGCGTGAACGACTATCTTTCTCCAAACAAAATTTCCCCCTGTATTGTCAATTTGCAGCCGGCATCGGCTGCTGCCGCAAAAGTTTTGCGCTCTGTCTCTGGGTGGCACAACCTTACATTTTTCGGCTCTATTGATCGCCGCGGCTGTTGGCTTTGTCTACACATTTACCGTATCGTTGAGAGGTTCATCAAAGCGGATGGCCCCTCGATCATGTACTCATAGAAATACGTGCCAGGGACTGGGATTGGCACGAAGTATTCCCCAGGTTTTCTTTAATTGCTTCTCGGCGAAGATGGATGGGATGGGATTTGATCTGGCTCTGCTTGCTTGCTTGCTAGGTCTGTCTTTGTTCTAGGCGAGTCCGGTCTTTGCTTGGAAGGCGCATTTTAGAACATGGAATCAACACGAAACACATTGCAAAATAATCCGCCTGTCTGGTTATCTTTCTCAGGGCTTCCAAGTGACTGTTGATATCATTTCGAGGTGGCCCACCATTTCCGCCTACCTTTACGAAACTAGAAATCGGGTGAGATTGGGAGGCCGCCTCACAATTCCGTAGATCATGAACCAATTCATTGATTACTACGAGTTTGAGCAGAACGCTAAAATCAGGTTACCACGACCTGCCTGTGCGCAGCCTCGCCAGTAAGCCTGGCGGCGGCACCAAAGTAGAAACAGAGAAGGTTGAGGAAGAAGCACGCGCGACGTGGCGCATAAATCACATCCTCGTCTCGTCTCTTCCTCCACCGGCTCTCTCTTCCTCTCCGCCTTTGCTGTCTGTTGTTTTACATACATACATACATACATACATACCTACACTTTTCGAAAGAGCGGCCACCTCTCTCATCCCTTGCCTAGTTCGGGCGCTGTAGATCTTATGATGAGAAAGCAGTCGATTTATTTATTTTTTTTTAAAAAAAGAAAAAATTGGTAATGGGATGTGTGTATGTATGTATGTATGTATATTATTATGTAGGCAGTTTGTACTGGCTGAAGTATAATATGTGAAGAATTAGAGTTAGTAGGGGGTTTTTTTTATACACGCGATAAGGGACTCGGGATAGAGAGTAGATAGATAGATATGGGTAGGTAGGCAGGTAGGCCGGTAGGCAGGTAGGCAGGTACCTATGTAGGTATGTAGGTAGGTACTTACACCGCAGCGTCCCGTGATGAGGTTGCAGTCTTGGTTGCAGTGACCATCTGTACAACGATCTCCCTGGAAAAATGAAAGGCTTGGTTGGTGGGTGGGTAGGCTCGTTCGTGTACTTATAGGTAGGGTAAGTTCAGATGGGAATGAATGCATGCATGAATCCCTTACGCCGCCACATGGTGTAGTGAAATTTCCACAGCTATCACTGCCTTGCGTTTTAACGTCCGTTTAATCATTTGAATTCATTTTACATCTCTACTTATGCGAAGTGAGAAATGAGATGAGAGAGTGGATGACTTACGGAATCTCACTCTTGGCGACAGTCTCGCTCTACTAAGTTGAGAGAGGATGGGTTGGGGGTGGCGAGACACGGGGTGATGATTGTTGCGATTGTACAAACTGATGGCCAAGAGCGTGAACCTCATTTTTGGAAAGTAGAGAGTGTAGATGTGATGTGATGTGATGTCATCGTGGAAGAGAAGATATATAACGTGGATAAAGACAGAATAGATGACGACAAGCTTGAATGAATGCAATTGTCGTTGGACCTAAGTGACAGACAGACTGCTTGCTTTAATATAATCTCATCGGCGTGAGAAGAATATTAGTGCATTCAAATAAGGGTCTTCCCTCTCTTCCGAATAAGACTTGAAGGTACTGTTGCCCTCTCATCGGAAGGGTTTGGATCTATCAGAGGGGAGGTAGAAGGCTCAAGGCAATTACAAGGGAAAGTATATAGATTGAATGTAAGCTTATTTTATTATACTCCGTAGTCAGTCAGAGCTCTGTGCCTGTTTCTTAACTTGCAGCCTCTCGTCGATTCAGTACTGTGGTATCTATAGTGGTGAATAAGTGTTGTCCTGGCTCTAGAGACTATAGTTCTATTTATAGCCCTCAGTTTGTTGCAAGCAAAAGCCGATTTGTCGTGTCTGATTTTCAATCCTCTCTGCTCATCATTTATCATTCATCATTTATTATTCATCATTC